GGGGGGGGGGGGGGGGGGGGGGGGGGGGCGTGATGGAGGTGGAAGCCCAGGGACCCTGACAGCTAGAGTGTTGGGACTCAGGATGGGGTCTCCAGAAGTGGAAAAGATGCCCCGGCAGATGGAGGTGGCGGTGTCCGCGTTATTGACAGGTTTGGGAAGAGCCCAGGCTAGGGCTGCTCTCCTCCCAAGACAGTTTGGCTGAAGCGTTTAATCCTGTAAGGGCTGCTTTGGCGTGAAGAGGCATTAGAAACCCGGTGTAAGCCTCCAACAGTAGCTGGTCTGGCCTCTCACACACGGAATGGTTGTAACCCTCTCTCTGATCTCATCCCAAGTCATCTCGCTGGAGGACGATTACTTCTGCTTCAAAATGGCCCTCAGCCACGAGCCAAGACTTAGGAGTGGGACAGCCCATTTGGGAAGGAAGATGTTTTTAGAAAGTTTAAGACTTCTTAAAAAGTTCACTTTACAAAGCATGCTTCTCTTGGTCAGGAGAGGGAAAGCCTGAAGGTGGTTCCAGGCGAAAGGAACTGAGACCAGAGGGGGAAAAAAACTCTCAATCTCTTGTAGAGAAAGCCAGGAGCCATCGTGTGGCAGACTTCTGGGCCTGCCTCCGACAGCTGGTTTCATTTAGATTTTTGTGTGATTAACCGACATCTTCCTGTTCCTTTGCCACATGTATCTAGCAAGCCTCTTTTACCTTATAAGGGAAATCCTTTGTAGCGTGTGGAAGGCTTTGATTGCAGGAAGAGGAGGAGCCCACAATGACTAGCAGTGACTAGCAGTTTTTCAAAAATACATATATATGTATGTATATACATATATATGTGTATATCTCAGAGCTCTTTTGATTCCAGTTGGTTGAAAATCTGCCAATAGCATGGTTGTCAGGATTCAAAATATCCCACATAAGGGCTGCTCACTTCTTTTTTTTTAAAAGACAACTGATGAATCCAAGCACCTCTGTATAATCTTAAAAATAAATTCCCTTTTGGGGTGATGAAAATGTTCTGGAATTAGGTAGTGGTCTTGGTTGCGGTTTTGTGATTATCAAGGAAAAAGTTCCTGCCCCAGTTGCTGAAGGTGTTAGGAGGAGTTAAGATTCATGCCACTGAAAAGAGGCACCTATTCATTGGAAGGACTGGGTGACATTTCTTAAAAGGGTTCATCAGTAGTTTCAAAGGATGCTGAGATCAAAAACCTGTGGGAGTCTCCCCTCTGTCTGCCTCTAGGACTCTGGGGCAGATAACACTTCCTGATTCTCTGTGTTTTTCAGCCACTCCAGCCTCCTTTTTTTTGCTGTATAAACTCAGGGAGCAGGGGAAGGAGTGATTTTCCCCAGTTTTTGTAGCTTTCCCCAATTCAGAGATTCCTTATTTGTCCTAATAGGAAGAACCTGGTGTGGATCCACCTGCATCTTCATGCCTCCCCTTGGTCGAGCCCCATTTGACCAACTCTCAATGTTCCTTCCTAAGCGTGGGCATCCCTGGGTAACTTGTCTGGCCTCGAAGCCCCCACAAGACTCAGAAAGCAGGTTCAAAACAGGAAGAGCCCTCGGGTGGGGCTCAAGAGTTTACCAGCTCTGAGTCGCTGAACAAAACCATTTCACCTGGCTGGGCCCCTCAGTTTCCTCATCTGTAAAATGGGTGAGACATGTGAGAAGTAAACGAGATAAAACCATGGTAGTAAGAGCTACCCTTCTGTGGGACTCCCCACCTGCCTGGGGCATGCAGTGCTACACCCTTTAACTACAAGTAATCAGGCTTTGGGATAGAGAGGCTCAGAGAGGTGAAGCAACCTGCCCAACGCCACATGGCTATGAATGGCAAAGCTGGGTTTCTCACCAAGCACTTTTTGACCCCAGAGTTCCTGCTTTTATGCACTGTACTGTACTTCCTTCCTTGAAGGTGAAAATGCCTTGAAAAGCTAGTGACACTCTCCAGACATCCCTTCCATGCATGTAACCAGGTTTTCTTTCCTTTCTAATACCTTTCTGTCCCATCGTCTCTCGGCCAGACTTAGTTAAGGATGGTGTTCCGATTGGGCTGCCCCCACACCTTGCTAACTGTATGGCCAACGTTTAACTGAGGCCTCCATATTCTTGCATTTATCTTGCCATTCAGGTGAGTGGGAGCAGACCTAAGAGACAGGATGAGCCGGGTCACAGGTGGCCTTGCTCTCTAGGAGCCCTGGAACAAGCTACCACTGTTTGTCTTTTTCAAGGAAGAGCCCACACTAGATCTTATCCTCATTAGGATAAGACATTAGGTCTATTATGAGTTGCTGGGGAGGCCAGCGCTGTCGTCTCAGAGCACGTGGTATGCTTGTCTGTCCTCCATGTTGACTCAAACCCCACCACCACCACCAATCCTGTACTGGGACACACACCTCTTGTCACCGAGTAGATGTTCCCTGACATTTTCAGGGAAGATTGTACTGAAATTTTATGTTCTCCAGACAAGAAAGTGTGAATTCCTCACAGCCTCAATTCCTGGCTGGCTTTGGTGGAGGGACTGTGTTAGCTGAGGGAAGGACACAACAGGGATTCCTGCTGCTGGCTGGCCTGTTAACTTTTTAATCTGACTGCACTTCTGACCTCCCCAGGCCGAAGGTGATGTGGCAGCTCTCAATCGACGCATCCAGCTCGTTGAGGAGGAGTTGGACAGGGCTCAAGAGCGACTAGCCACAGCCCTGCAGAAGCTGGAGGAGGCGGAAAAGGCTGCAGATGAGAGTGAGAGGTAAAGATGCTTTGAAGCTGGTGGCATCGGTGTTTGCTTCTGGAAAATGGGGATCGTACTGCTGCCCCCTCAGAGCCGGAGTGAAAGTAAACGAGATCACACAGATGTGCGCATGTCCACGTACATCTAAATGCAGGACAGTGCTTTGTGAACCAATGCTCTGTGTAGAGATGTCTATCACTGCGGTAGCCATGAAGAAAAACCTCCAACAGGCAGAGGAAGGAGAAAAAATTGGCAGATGTAAGACTGTGAATGTGACTGCCAGAGGTGGTTGGTTTGCAAAGCACTATTTCACATCTTTTGTCTGAAAGCCATGATGCCTCTCATGGGTGTTCTTGAGACATAAGTTTTCAGGGTAATGTGACAAAAGCGGACATGAAAACTTGGAATGGGCCATGTGCAAAGATGATTAATGGTGCTGTGGGGGAGGCTTTAGGCTCTTGGATGGTAACAACTGCATTTCAGGGACATGCACAAACCAGCACTATCAGTCTACTTTCGCTGATGGAGTTCTTCACCCCCTTGCTATGTGTGCTGGGTTCAGGCCTCCAGCAGGGTGCTTTGTCCTCGGGTGCAGGATCATTCTGTGGCACGCCTTGGCACAGGCTCTGGAAGACTGTAGGTAGATTGTGTAGTTCACAGAAGCAGCGGCCTCTATGTGGTGGTAAATGGGTTCCTTGTGTGGCAATGGTGAGGACCGGTTCATTGTGCGTCTGCCACACAGTCATACTGAAGTAATCACTTGACCTGTCCAATATGGTTTTCCAGTATAAACCCCAAAGAGTTCATTTCTGATTGTTCTCCAAGTCTAGGGAATCTTGGAGACTGCAAGTTGCCAAGGTGGGAAATTTCTTCCCATGGAGTGGAGCAGCCAGGGTAGAGGGAACGAACACCAGTGCAGGCTCTGCTTCAGCCACTTAATAGAGAGAGAGGTGGCAGCTCAAGGCAGCCATGGGGAATTGTGAAGGACCAGTCATGAGGAGCTCATGGCTGTGCCTGGTGCCTGGATTAGCTGCTGCCCATGTTCATAGACCAGACTGGCCAGATGTCTCACTTCAAGGGCCTCCAATGACAAACTGAGAGAGCCTCGGAAGGCCACTCACTTGTTCGCATCATTTCACCAGAGGCCTTTGGTGACACCCTTGCTGGACACTGCTGTGTTCAGTAGAGAGAATTCTACACTTGGAGCTGGAGGATCTAGATTCAAGTCCTTCCATTGCCACTTACTACATGGACTTGGGCAAGTCACTTGGATCTCCTGAGTACCACAGAGGCTTTTCCAACAAGAAGCATTCCCCCCTAGCTTGTTCACATGCTGAGGTTAAGGCCTTGCACAGGTCTGGAGGGGTTTGACAGTTAGCTGAGAATGCTAGTGACAGCCCACATGCAGGTATTTATTGCACAGCAAGAAGTATATGGCCCTCTGCTCTGGGAGGGAACAACACACATCAGTGATACGTTATCCCAGGTTTGGCCTCTTTGGAGGTCTCTGATCCTATTTAGTTCACTCCAAGCAGTGCAGACCAGAGCAAGCTCATTTCATGGCCAGCTGAGTTGTAGCAAAGCTCCAACTGTCCCCAGGACACCATCCTTTCCAAATTGGATGTATCTAGTTGAGTTCGGGCCCTCCCCATCACTCTCCTGGTTGGTATCTGCTTCTCATCTGGCCTTCCCACTCAGTCCATCCATCATTCTGGTTTCCACTCACTTCCAGTTTTGAAGCCCTCCAGTGGTTCCCTGGCCCCTCAGCATAAACCCCTTAGCATGTCATCAAAGCACCAAGCCCATGGTCCAGCCACCCTGACCTCCCTGCCAGTTCTCAAATGGAAGTGTTCTTTCATTCTTCTGGGGCTTTCTTGTACAGCTCTCCCTCACCTCACATTTTCCCTCCCTATTCACTCGTGGACTCTCTTCTTACCCTTGGATGCCTAGCCTAAATGTCACCTCTTCTGGAAAGCCTTTTGTGATCCAATCCTCACCACAGCAGAACTCACTGCTGCTGCTCAGCATTCCCACAGACAGCCAGCACAGACCTGTGATGACATGGTGGTAACTGCTGGCTTACAAGTATGCCTTGTTACTAGTTATTCAGAGGAGTAGAGAATGGGAGCACAGACTCTGGAGCCAGACCAGCAGGGTTTGAGGGTCAGCTCTGCCACTTACTAGCTCCATAGCCTTGAGCAAGTTACTTCGCCTCTCTGTATGCCTTGGTTTCTTCATCCATAAAATAGGATAATGTACCTACTTCACAGGGCAGCTGTGAAGGTGAAGGCACTTAGAACAGAGCCTGGCAATCAGGAAAGATGAAGTGAATGTGAGCTTGACCACAGTGGTGCTCAGAAGATTAAGAGACATGTCTAGATGAGCAGTGGGTGGAGGTGTATGAGTGGCGGTAATGACAAAATCACTCCTTGCAGAGGAATGAAGGTGATAGAAAACCGGGCCATGAAAGATGAGGAGAAGATGGAGATTCAGGAGATGCAGCTCAAAGAGGCCAAGCACATTGCTGAGGAGGCTGACCGCAAGTATGAGGAGGTGAGTGGGGCTGGCAGATGGCAGCAGCAGGAAGTGGGAAGAAATGGACCTGCTGATAGGGAAAGCCCTGGGGCTGCCTAAAGCCCTCAGTTAGGTCATCTGTCCTTCTGTGTGCACGTCTGTTTTTCCAGTGATAGCCACTTGACCAGGAAACCACGATACCAGAGTCCTGGGGGCACTTGTCTAACTTGGTGGGGAAACCAAATGATCAAGTCACTTTTGCCCTACAGCTGGGTGTTTCGACACAGTTTGGCAAAAATTGAGGATGTGGTGCCCAGCACTGGCTCTTCACACCATGAGAGCTCAGTCCCTCTTTTGCCTGCCTCCATGGCTCAGCTCTTCCTTCCCCTTGTCTGTTTCACTCCTGCGGCCTGCAAGAGAGAATTTAGATTTCCTCCAGCCTCCAGGACTATTTGAGTTGAAGAACCAACAGAAAGCCCCTCATTACAGATGCTTTGGGTTGGGCATTGCTCTCTGCTTGGGGAGGGCATTCTACCAGACACGCCTGGCATGGGGACCAGTCTCAGTCAGGCCTTTCTGTCTCTGCAGGTAGCTCGTAAGTTGGTTGTCCTGGAGGGCGAGCTGGAAAGGGCAGAGGAGCGTGCGGAGGTGTCTGAACTGTGAGTGGCAGAACAGGACTGAGCAGGGCTCAGCTCAGCTCCTGGGGTGGAGCAGGAGGGACTTGGGCGTGCTGGGAATTGACTCCGGCTGGGGCCTCTGCTCAGTTCTTCTTCTTTGTTTCCATGGCTGACAAAGAGAGATGGCCACTGTATGTTCTTACTGCCCTGAAATGTGTTGCCTGTGTGTTGACTATTCCCAAAAAGATATTGGGAAATAGGTGGTAGCAGAGAAGTCCAGAAGTCCCATTTTCCCAGAGAGGATGTCTCAGGATGCTATGCCTTCTTAACAGAACACTGACCTGTGGAAGGCAGGCTGTCCCATCAGTGTTTAAATGCTTTGCTCCTGATGTCATTGTTTGGCTGTAACATATTCCGGGGGGGGGGAAGGTGAGAAGTTGATCAGAATCCCACAATCTCCAAAAAACCAAAAGCCTCTCCTTTTGGCCTTGGATGAGGAGTCCAGCTCCACAGAGTAACCTACAGTGCTGAGAGATCTAGTTTCACAAACCCACTCCAAGCTTGCTTCCTGGAGTATCTGGTGTAAACTCTGGTTGTTGTCTCCCAGCCTCTTGCCCTCAATCTCATTCCTACACCTTCCGGAGTCTGCCTCATCAATCACAGATTTCACAAGTCCCTGTTGCCTCACCCTTGGCGGAAGCCCAGGAGTGCTTTACAAACCTTACAAATATTCCTTGGCCTGGCCTGCCTCGCCTCTGCCTGGTATGACAGGGCTTGGATAAGTACACAGCATTTCGTCTCAGAAAAATCCATGAACATTTTTCCCCACATTCCTTCTGGGGGCCCCCGGGCAGCACAGGTTTCTCCTTTTGCAAAATTCTTTCAGGGGGATTGCCTGCTGTAAGGCAGGATGAGACACAAAAATCCTTTATCTTCATGCAGAAAATGTGGTGACCTGGAAGAAGAACTTAAGAATGTCACCAACAATCTGAAATCGCTCGAGGCTGCATCTGAAAAGGTTGGTGGTTGGCTTGACTTGAAGGGTGGCCTGCCTGACTTTGTTCTTTTCTCCCCAAGAGGTACATGGGGGTGTGACACCAGGTACATGGGGGTGTGCCAGGGTGTCGGGAATGTGACTTTTGTTTATTAAAAGTGACAGTAGCTTTGGTGCCCAGCAGTCAGGGGTTTTGTCCCTACAAAAAGAGCTATCCAGTGGCTGGATTTCTCACACAGGCTCTTGGATCCTCTTCCAAGGAGTCTTAGCACCATCTTTTTTGTCTTTTTTTTTTTTTTTTCATGTCCGGCAACGGACCGCAACCCTCAGTGTCGCGCCCGTACTGGACCGGGACCGGCAACGGGATCGCAACCCTCGGTGTTGCGCCCGCACCTTGCTCAGCCACTGAGCGGGAACCGGTCTGTATGTGGGATCCGAACCCTCTGCGGGAGCGCCACCGCGCTCCCAAGTGGGGCACTGTAGCAGTGCGCCACCAGGCCGGCCCAGCACCGTCTTTTATCTCCACCTCATATAAGGATGGAGGTGGAATAAGAGGACACTTCAGAAAGTTCATGGAACAATAGAATTAAAAGATGATATGGTTCTTTCCATGAACTTTTGGAAGTACTTGCTTGCATACAAGGCTCCTCCAAGGGAGATCTGAGCACAATTGTATAAATGCTGAGCCTCACTCTCACCTGAATCCCCTGGTTCCTACAGAAATAGCTTCTCAGAGGTCAAGCAGTAGCTATCAGAGGTGGAAATTGGGCTTTCTAGGTTGAAACAGTACCCAAAGCAGTCACTAAAGGGCAGAACCACATTAGGAGCAATATACACACTCTTCTGTTGCACAGCTTGCTAAATTCCCCATTCTTATCTCCTCACTCTCTCTTACTTCCCTCCAGTTGAACTGAACTTAGGTTTCACAAACATTCCATATTCTCCCGTCACCTCTTGGTCTTTGAACCCGCGGTTCACTCAGCCTGGGATGGCTTTCCCTTTTCTCTTTACTTAATAAACCACTGTTCCTTTAGGCCTCTGCCCAATCATGACTTCTTCTGAGAGGCTTTTCCCTGATTTCTCATCTAGGTTAGGGGTTTCTCTGCTGTGTAGCCCCATCTACTTCTTTGCCTATCATTATGGTTTATTACACTTATTATAATTACCCCATTAATTGTATGCCTTCCTGCTAGATTGTAAGTTTTAAGGACAGGGACCATACCTGTCTTGCTCAGAGCTGTATCCCTAGTACTAGCATTGTTTCTGGCATATGTCTGATACTAGGATTTGTAATGAATAAATGCCATCCATGTGTGCATGTCAAATGCTGCCCTAAGCCAAAGGGATAGGTGTTACAACAATAATATGGCTTTTGCTCTTGAAGAGCTCAGTCTAGTCTAGTGGAAGAGTGCTTTGGGAGTACAACAGAGGGACCTTGGAAAGTTGGGAAAGGTGTCACCAAGGAGGTTGAAAAAGGCTGCAGCACATGGTGATGGCCGAGAGTACAAATTCCAGAGTCAGGCTCCAGTCATGGCTTTATCACTCAACAGCCATGTGACCCAAGACAAATAATTTAACCTTGCTGCAACTCTCATCATCTGTAAAATTGGCCAACTTCTATGAAGGGTGTCAAGTAGCATGTATTTCATTCATTTACCTCTCCCATCTTCATCGTACTTTTATCATACTTTTTATCAAGTTATCAGCTCTGGCCTTCAGATCAGTACCATCTTAGAGGGCTCTCCCACAGATTCTCTATATTTTGCCCACATTTCTTCTACCTGGAAAGGTGCCTACCTCTGCTTCTGAGGCATGTTTATAGTGCTTCGTGCACACACTATTCTCCAAGGAACAGGGAAACTACGTTCCTTTATGTTTGTTTTTTCTTTTTTTAAAGCAGTGTTTTGGTTTCTCTCACAGTATTCTGAAAAGGAGGATAAATATGAAGAAGAAATTAAACTTCTGTCTGACAAACTGAAAGAGGTGAGTGTGATCGCACCCAGATAGTTCAGGTTTCTCCTCGTTCTGTTCTTAAAGCAATGATAGCAATTCCTTTCTTCTCTAGGCTGAAACCCGTGCTGAATTTGCAGAGAGAACAGTTGCAAAACTGGAAAAGACAATTGATGACCTGGAAGGTATGAAATTACCATCTAAATGTTTGCTGAGTGTCCCACTTCTTGACACATCCTACAGACAGTTGGGGAAGTCTGTGGAGAGGTTGATGTGGGCTTTGTTCACCAAGTAAAGTGCAGAGTGATGTCACATCTGGAAGCACTGGAACGGGATAGTGTAATCAACTTCAGATTTGAGTTCCTATTCTCAGGAAGTAAAATATCTCTCCTTAATTAGTTCCGCATGTGAGTATAGAGTACCATATATGGCTCTCTGGTGTTAAAAAAAAGTCTTTAGAATTTCCTTCAACTTGCTCATTTCTGAGAGATGCCTTGCATTTTTTTTAAATGCCTTGCATTTTTACAGAAGCTCTCTCCCAGAAAACTCAAAGCTTATCACATCCTGGAAATACAGAGAATGTAGTCTACAAATCTGGTGCTTATATATCCCAGAATTTCTTGAAGAGTTCCAATTTTTAAAATTCCATCCCATGTTCTTCATGATATGGCCCCCAAACTCCAGAATCTTGGGGTTCAAATGAAATTTCCCAAATTGCCTGTCTCAACCAGAAAGGAGACAAAACTCATTCTTCAGAGCATGTGTCCCAGTGTTTGGTTTGGGAAGTGAGGTTTCCATATAAAGGAAAATGCTCCATTCCAAAGTGTAACCTTTGGACTGGGTGACATTAGAAGTCAGAAATAACCTGTGAGCAGGGGTTGGTAGGAAGAAGCTCTGTCCATTTCTAGTCACCACTCTTTTAAAGGTTCATTATGACTAATCCCTTGCAGAAGCTCAAACCATTTATAAATCACTCCATAGACCTTTTGTTTTTTCATTTGTTTTACACAGGACACAACTTTCTCCTAGTTTATGCTTTGTTTTCTCACTTTTTTCTTCCTCTCATTACTCATCTGTGGCACTCCATTCTGACCTCTTGTGTTCTGTCCCCTGTACTTCATCTTCTGAAAACTCTCCCTGGGGACCTCCACCCTCTAGATGAGCTATATGCTCAGAAGCTCAAGTACAAAGCCATCAGTGAGGAGCTGGACCATGCTCTCAACATGACCTCTCTCTGAGAGGCAGTTGGGGTGCCGCCCTCTGTCCTAGCAGTACTGAAATCTGCCTTCTGACTGTGGTGCTTACACTCCTGTGTGCTCCTAGGACCTCCAGTTCCCTGCCTCCTGGTTTGATCTTTCAAGCCTTCTTCTGATGTGTCTGTGACTCTGACTGAAATAAAGACAGGCAATCCTTATCTTCTTGCCCTCTCCTTTTCATTTTCTCCACTTGCCGCTTTTGAGCCATAGCTGTGTGCCGTTAACCGTGGCAAAAACAGAAAGTGGGCGATTAGCCTTCTCTCACAAACGAAGAGTGCATTACAAAAAGAAAATTATGCCCACATGATTCTTTTCTAAAGATGTGAAAACAGAAGCCAACTTGGCATGTGCTCTCAAATACAGCATTAGCCAACTGCATCTGCATGCCAATAGTTTTTCCTTAAATAAAATTGTTTTGAATGAAGATTCATCCCTATAAATCTCTTAGGCAGCTCAGTAGAGTCAGCAAAATCTGAAAAAACCAGCAGGCCTGTGTCTAAAATGAGATTATCCTTGAATGGTGCGTGAGCTATGAATTCAAATAGCGGCAATGGCATTTTGGTCTCTCTCTTTTCTTATTTGGTCTGTCTGTATTAGACTTTGAGAATAGTGCCTGGGGTTCCCCATGTCTTCAGTGTTCATGGAACATTCATCCAGCTCTCAGTCCTGGGAGGAAGTTCACCTCCACGCTCTGCCCTTAGAACACTGACTATAAGATGGAAAGGGAATGGAAACTGCTGTGATGTCAAAGAAAAATAAGCGAGGTGACTGTTTTCCAAGTTCCAAACAAAAGTTGCCTGAGACACTAACATCTACCTCCTCTCATACTTAACAAGGACCAACAATAACCAGGACCCTTTGCTTTGGTTTAGTAACAACTTGTAGAGTCGGCCTATGGGTGTTAAAAGCTCATGCTTATAGTAACCAAAAACTCAGATTTTTTTCCAAGATAATCCAGATTTCAATCTATCTAGTTCTCCCTTGTATCCCACCACCACCTCAAATTTTGACACTGGCATTTTGATGTCAACACATCTTTCAGATAACCCTTTGAACCTGAAAAGGGCATGAAAAATCTCCAATTAAGGTTCAGGTCCCCATACCAGCCAGCAGCCATCAAAAAAGAAAAAATCTCCAATTAGATCATCAATTTTTGGTCAATATAGCTTGGTCTCCCTATTTTTTCATTCAGCTGGGAACCTCTGTCCCAATTCTTCTTTATAGTCATTCCTCCAAAATACATCTCCCCTAAACTATCCACACCCTTCCACCCCCAACCCCTCCCTGTTCCTAACTGCCATCCACCCTGAACTTTTGCATAAACTGTTCCCCTCACATAATACCACACATATGCCCTTGGAAAGATTACAGCTGTGTAGGGAGGTGTTTTTTGTGTGCTCTCTCTGCATATTTGTTCCCAGGGTTTTTCCAGACATTTGTAGCCTCCACCCTTTGAAATAACTATGCAGCCCTGCCTATCCAGTTATTCTTCCTAACTAAGCACCTAGGTGGAAGTTCATTTACAGAGATTCGTGCTATGGAGTTCTGCTACTACCTGTTGATAGTCTATGGGTATTGTCACAATTCTCAAGGGCAATTAACACTTTAAGGGAAAGTTATTTTATCTTAGAATAACAAAAAAGATGACAGGGAATCCAGGTGATGAAGGGAGGTCAGGATTGGTCATCAAGAGACCTGCTCTACCACTTCAGTTGTGCAACCTTGAACAAACTGCTTAGCTTTTCTGCAGAATAAATGTGATATCTCAGTTATTGTTAGGATTAAATGAGATAATAGAGAAACTGGCTCATACATAGCTGGCATTCAGTTAACATCTGTTCATCCAGACTGGATAGGCCCAGGTCACTGTTACGTCTCAATGGAATCCTCCCAGGTCATAGTCTTTTTTTTTTTTAAGTGCCTTGTCAAATGAAAGGTTCAATAGTTGTAGCAGAAGAGCTCCCCTATTCTGCTTTTTTTTTTTCTTTCTGAAAATTTCTAGGCTGATCATATCACATTTGGCGAGGCATTTTGCTTTCCTCCAGTATTTTAATGAGTCTTGGCCTGGTCCCTTATCAGCTATCATTCATTGCAAACCAGTTCTCTATCATGCTCTGTCATGCATAGCTCTAAATGGCATCTTTCTTTTTTTTTTTTTTCTGACTTGTTTCTTCAGCTCAGTTACTTAACATGCCTGTGATCTGGCTTAAATTTCAGTCATGTTGCATTTACCTCGGGTTTGACTCCAATGCTCTGGATACACGGACACAACAACACAATTATGCCTGGAATTTAAACAAAAGCTCCAAAGGAAAGATGGGTTACAGGATTATATTTTCCTACCAAAGCGCAGGAAGTAATTAACTGGCACTAGGGGGGAAATGTATTAAGTCACTCATATCTAGAGTTAAAATCTTATGTCTATGTAGCATTTCATAGGTTTTGTAACATTTCTCTTTTGTTCCTCATAATAACCCCCATACCACATATTGGTATTGCTATCCCCATTTGACAGATGGGGAAACAGACCTAGAAAGTTTAAATGGCTTAGATCACTGGTACAACTGGGGCTTAAATCCAGTTGTTCTGACTCTAGGGTTGCCACATTTAACAAATAAAAATGCAGGACACTAAGATAAACCTGAATTTCAAATAGGCAATGAATAACTTTTTTTGGCATATCTTGTGCAACATTTGGGATATACTTGTACTAAATTATCTGTGGTTTATTTGAAATTCAATTTGATGGGCACTCTATTTTATCTTGCAACCCTGACTCCCAAATATGGTGCTTTGATCCCTATTATTCCATGGTGTTCTGTAATCAAAATGCAAAGTGTGTTCTCCGCTATGACTTTCACTCTGTCTATTTGAGGGTAAGAAACTTTTTTTTTTCCTTTAACAAAGATGCTTATTAATTTATTTTTCCTCCTACTCTTAATCTTCACCAGAAAAACTTGCCCAGGCCAAAGAAGAGAATGTGGGCTTACATCAGACACTGGACCAGACACTAAATGAACTTAACTGTATATAACCCAAACAGAAGAGTCTTGTTCCAACAGAAACTCCAGAGCTCCGTGTCTTTCTCTTCTAAGAAGTTTCTTTTATTATTGTGTCTTCGCTTTACTGGAAATGTCAAGCAAATTATGAATACATGACCAAATATTTTATATCAGAGAAGCTTTGAGCACCAGTTAAGTCTAATTCCTTCCTTTTTTTCAAATGACACCAGCTTTTCAGCTCTATTTTTAATTTTTAAGTTGCATTTATTCCTAAGGTAGGCAGGGTATTTCATATTGAGCATAATGTCTTAAGACTGAGGGCATTTGGTTCCTAAGAGAATAATCAACCCCACCTAGTCATGGACCATTTTAAAAACACTGAAGAATATAACCTTCTGGGTCACTGTTGGTCAAACTACAGGAAGCTAGGGACCATCACGTTAAAATGGGTGGGGATTTTCCATCCACAGCAAAAAAACAGGTGGGGGGGTGGCTATTTTGGTGTTATAAACTACAGATTAATCTGATCATCCTGGCCCTTCTCCACATTCCACTACACAGAACAAACATCCTCTGAGCAGTCAGCATGAGGATGCTTGGGAAATAGTTATAATAATTACCCAGATATTTTTTGGATAAATCCTTGATGCTCTTCTACATATTTTTCATCCGAAACTTGTTCTTTGAGGAGCAAGTGTATTATTCCAGTACTGACCCATCTTTGTCTGCCCTGATCTAAGGCCATCCACTCAGCAGGAATATAGTGAGTTGAGTCCTGTTCAGTTCAACAATATCAAAAAGACTGCTAGCCATCAATAGATTGAGCAAAAGAATTCTATTTTTTGAAGGGGACTCTCTGGCAGCAAAGTAGAGATAAAAAAGTAATTGGCCTAACTTGATCTCTATATTTCAGGGAATGGCAAATTGAAGATTTACTTATTTAAGACTTTAATTCCTTCTTCGGGACCAAGTTAATAAAAGACCTGATTAAACTGGATATGGAGTATTTTGTAGACAGGGCTGCACATCTTGGCTTTGTTATACCTGTATTTGTGTTTTCTCAGTTAACATCTCAAAGCTGAAACATTCCACATTCCCCGACAGTGTGGGAGCCAACTCAAGTTTACAATTCTGACTGAAAAATCACCCTGCTTCTAGCTTACCTGAATCCCCTGCCCTTCACTCCTATTTATTAAGCATCACACTACCCAGGAGATACACTAGCAAACTGTGCAACTGAATAAAACCCACACTTTTCTTTAGATTCTTGCAACTGTATCATATGTAATAGTATCTTTTTCTACATTTTGGTCAAATAAATTTTTACATAAACCACAATTTGTGTGAATTTTAGAATATGTGGGGACAAATGAAGCATTTTAGTTCCATGAATGTTAATGGGATGGAAAGGGCAAGATCACTGTGCCAAGAACTTAGCAAATGTTATTCATCTGCTTTATACCATGACTTCAGGATATAAGGATTACAGATGACAGCACTTGGCCTCATTAACTCAAAAGTTCCTGTCATTTGCTGTCCCTAGTCCTGCTGGAGCCGGGCTGTGAATGATAGGATGTTAATAGATGAGATAAAAACAGGGAAGATGGTCTGTGTTGAAAGTACAAGGCCTGCCTAAGCACAGCTTTCTGTGTGTTGCACATATTAAGCAAAGCAGAAGTAGAAAAGCTGGAGGAAAATAGGCTGGGTACACACTGATGAGAGCCTGAACTCAATTTGGTCAGTAGTGGAGAGCCACTGAAGATGAGTAAACAAAGCAAAACATTAGGAAAATCTAGTTAGCATTCATTTTCAAGAAGGGCTGGAGTGGGGGCAGACTACAGGCAGGAAGGCCATTTAAGAAAATGCTTCAATAATCCAGGAGAGTGGTTGTCATGGAATAAGTAAAAAGTGATTTGAAGGAAGTAGTCTTAATGGCAGGGAACATGGAGAAGGGAATATCAAAGATCACTACAGTTTCACTACCTGAATTGCTTTGATATTTGCCTATTGGGGAGGGGAGGTAGAGAATCGAAAAGAAAAGAAAGCCTTAATGCAGCATGTGAACAATTTTCTATTATCAAGTACAATTAAAACATTTCCTTCATATTAAGTCAACATTTAGCTGACACTGAGATTTTTTAGATGGTAGGTACAGGGAATGTCAATGAAGAAAGTATAATCTCTAAGTGCCCTACCTTTACTAAACTGAAGTTCCTTTTTTCCTTTTTTTTTTTTAAGTTCTTCCTTTATGTGTCTGTTTTCTCCCTCCCCCCACCCCCTTGGGTTATCATCCAATCTCAGGATACTGTTTTAGTCATCCTTAGCACTTAACATAAGAAGTGTTCAATGTTTGTTAAATCAACCCGCCCCAGCTCTTGGGGAGTTCCCAATCCCATAAAGTATGGATGGAACATGTGAGGTTGGGACCAGATTGTGAGGGGTATCATACACTAAGGTAAAGATTTTGGACTTTATCCTGCTGAGACCAGAGATGGACATTAGATAAGTGTTTTCAAATGAGCACACTGCAGCGTGCAATCCGGGTTAGAGAACATCGTCAGGGAAACCAGTGAAGAAATGTGATGATATGACTATGGCAATGGAAACGGAGGAGCAAGATTCAAGAGCTATTTAGACTAGAAAGATGAAAGAAAGGTGTCAAAGACGATTTATGTTTCACTCAGAAGGTAATTCAGTACAAGCTAATGAGTAGATGATGAGTCCATTTATGAACATGCTGAGTTGGAAGTAACTTTGACAAATCCAAAGGCAGATGTCCAGAAAACAGACATGGAGGGATGGCAGGGATATCGATAAAAGTAATTCAGAACAAGCTAGTCTGAGTACATGATGATGAGTCCAGGTCATAGACATGCTGAGTCTGAAGTCACTTTGACAAGTCCAAAAGCAGATGTTCAGAAAACAGACAAGGAGGAATGGCAGGGGTATGGATAAAGAACTAAAAATCATCAGCGTGGAGACATCAGAAGTCACAGAGGTGAATGAGATCCCCCAGAAAATGAGAACAAAGAACCACGAGGGACACCAACATCTAAGAAACAAACAGAACCCCCCCCCAAAAAAAAAAGAGACTGCAATGTAATCTGAGAAACAGCACCCAGATAAGGGAAGGCGGGGGGGGGGGGTTCTCTGAGAAGCAGCAAACCTTGGCGACCAGATCTAGGTCTCCGAAGCGTGAGCTCCAAAACCAGCTTCCCACTGTGGAGCCTGGGAAAGTCACAACCTCCTCGGGCTTCAGTTTCCTCACCACTGACCGGGAAAAAGTAATACCTACCTGGCGGGCTGAGCGGTGGGGAGGAAATATTTTATAACCTTAATAAACGCCAAGAGCACCGCCCGGCACAGGCCGAGGCTCCTGAACGTCACCGGAACGATCGCTGTCCCGACAACCCCTCCTCGCCGGGGCCGAGCCCCCGGGCGCACCTCAGAGGGTTGATTGGGCGTGGGGCGGAGAGCGGCCTGGAAACTTCTAATTAGGTCAGGACAACCTCTAATTAGGGTCGAGGGCGGGTCCTGAGGAGTCCCGGCGTGCCTCAGGGCGCAGCTTGTGACGGGGCAGCCGCTCAGGTGGCGGAGGCCTTGGGTATCTCTAGGTAGGTCCCTTAGCCAAGCGGCGAGATCCCCTAGCACGTCTCGAGGGAGTGCTTTTCGACTATGACGAGGCCGCTTCTGTCTTCTCTTCGGCTCCGGCAGGGGAGATGCGGAAGCCTCCACACCACACTCCCCGCCGGAATAGCAGTCCCTTCCCGCGCTCCCCTCGGCGCCCATTACGGCTGCGCGGCTCTGGGGGCGGGACCTAGGTTCCCCAACCCCCTCCCCGGCGCGTGCGCCCTCTGCTGGAACCTAACGGTCTTCCCAGCGCGCGTGCGCATAAGCCCCGGGCCCCGCCCCCGGGATGCCAGTGCGCAGAACCTTGGACGGGGCGGGGCCGCCCCGAAGTCGGGGGAGAAGGCGGGGACACGGGATGCCACGCCCTCATCCCGGTCCCCGTTTGAAGCCCCTCGACTCTTCAACGCTGGCCAATCACAGCCCACCCTGTTTCGACCGGGATGCCAGTGCGCAGACCCTTGGACGGGGCGGGGCCGCCCCGAAGTCGGGGGAGAAGGCGGGGACACGGGATGCCACGCCCTCATCCCGGTCCCCGTTTGAAGCCCCTCGACTCTTCAACGCTGGCCAATCACAGCCCACCCTGTTTCGAGCGCCGGCCAATGGGCAGCGCGTTCGGGCCACTTCCGGTCCCGCTTCCCGCTCGCCCCTTCCCCAGGTCTCCCCGCGTCGGGCGGGGCGTGTGGGGGCGGGCGTTGGCTGTGGTCCGCCGGGCCGGGAGCCAATGGGGGGCGGACCGGCGGTGATGGACGGGGCCAGCGGCCAGTGGCGAGGTGCTAGCCGCACTTCCCGTCGGGGAGAGACTGTAATATGGCGAAGACCTACGATTACCTGTTCAAGCTGCTGCTAATCGGGGACTCAGGGGTAGGGAAGACCTGTGTCCTGTTCCGCTTCTCTGAGGACGCCTTCAACTCCACTTTCATCTCCACCATAGGTAGCGGGGCCGGGGAGCGGCCGGGGGCGCTGGAGGCCCGGGCCTGGCGCGCCCCTGAAGGGCTGGGGCCGAGGGATCGACCGTGCGATCGGGTCGAGGGATCCGAGAGGGTCGAGGGGGCCTGAGAGAAGGGCAGCCACTTCCACTGCAGTTTGGGGGACCGTTGGGCCGTCGGGGGGGAATGCCCATTTTGCGGATGGGGAGACTGAGGCTCGAGCCCTCAGCCCCCTTGTTAGGGAGAATTTGTTCTGGGCTGGGTTCTTCCCTCCCATCATCTCGTTCTGTCCTCATAACAGACCTGGGAACTGTTCTTTTGCGGTCTCCGTCTTACAGAGTGGAAACAGGCATGGGGAGTTGACCATGGGAAAAGGACGGTGACATCTGACTTAATTGAGCATTTACTATGTGCCAGGTGCTTTCTGTGCATTATCACAGTCTCCAGTACTCTGTGTTAGGTGCTGCTATGAGCCCGTTTCACAGATGAGGATTTTGAAGCTCAGGGAGGGCGTGGGACTTGCCCAAGGCCACAGAGTCTGCAGATGTTGAAGATGGGATTTGAACCCAGGTGTGTCTGACCCCAAAACTCGAGGCTCAGCCACCCCAGAGAGATGCCACCATGCATCCCCAAGACAAGCACAGCTGATCCACCTCAGAGCCATGACTCCAACTCACATGCCTCCTGCTCTGTACTTTAGAATATTCAAGGGTTGAGCCTCTCTCCCTGACGGTGTTTCCCCTCATGAGTAAATTTTCCTCTAGAGTGTTGAGAGGGAGTCAGTAGCCTTTCCCTCGAGGGTGACAGCAATGGCAAGTGACAGCTGCCTGCCTGGGACCTGTCATCCCCGCAGTGATGCAAGAAAAAAGCCTCAGTGAGAAACTAAAATCAGCTGCTGCCACAGGCAGCCTTGACTTCCCTATGTCAGGGCCCAGGACACCGGTTGTCACTTTGCAGAACAGCCTTTCCTGCAGGGCCAACCTACATTGTGGTTGAACAGAACTGGCTTGTTGCATCTCAGGTCTGACTTCCACAGAAGTGGGGCCGACTTCCCTCTGCACCACAAAAACAGTTATTGCCCACAGTGAAAAGGTTTGACCTAGGAGTAACACAAATCGAATGGAATGGCCTTGGAGCCATGTAGCCCTGCTTGGCAGGTGAGAAGTGGGAGAACAGTCCCCAAGACCAGGAGTGATTCCAAATCAAGAAAACCTAGGGAATGGCTTTGCTTTATCCTTTCGTAACTTCAAACACATCATGTTTTGTAACCACATCATGTTATCGCTCTGAACCCCACCACGACGGGCTAATTCCATCCTTGCCCTCTTCCAGAAACTGCACTTTGTAAAACAACTGCATGCCAGATGTAGAGAGTATTGGACTGGAAATCGTCATACGTGGTTTCCAGTTGCTGTTTGACCTTGAACAAGCACGATCCCTCCCTGAGCCCTGTTTCTGCAGAGTAGGAGGCTCACTCTCCACCTTGGTCAATGCCCTGGGTGGTTGAGGATCAGAACTATACAATGAATAAGGGGTTGTCATCACTGCCAGAGGCCATCTAGAGGAAACAGAGTGGTTCCTGTAGAGACAGCAGCTCACCCCTGGCCGCAGGTGTTTCTGAATGCTTCTCCCTCCCCCACTCCAAGGTCAAACCTTCCGATAACTGTGGAGTTCCCCCCCAACCAGGAAGTGCTGTTAACTCCTCGCCAGCTGTGGCTTGCTCTTGACCCAGACCTCAGTTTCCCAGCCTCAGAAACTTCCTGCTTAGTACAAACATGGGTC